CCAGATGATAAGTCCAACTTACCATCCAGGGTAACCAGATGCCAGAGAGGATTGTTTTCATTTCCACGGGATTTCTAATTAGGGGACATGCTTTAACTGTGTTTTCAATGGCTGAACATCCAAATGACAGTTTGATATGAGCAATTTGTCTGGCCGGCTAGATAAATTCATAGCAAAGCTAAAGGATTTTCCGTTAGAAATGGGTGCACATCCTTCGCTGTGAATCGGATCAAACATTCCTGTAACTAAAGAATCCCCTTTATGTAACAGCTCATTCTAACCTTCATTTGCAGTTTTAATGATCAAAGTCTCTCTTTCTCCTGATTTGTCCCCAGTCATGGACTCTGCCAAGTGCTTGTTTTTTTTTCTTTCTGAAGTCTCGCTCTTGTTCCAATTTGATGAATGGAGGGAAATGTCCATTTCTGCTGTCCCACCCAGACCTCATGAGCAGTAGCATTGTCTGGCCGGCTCCTGGGGGAATTTGCTACCTGCATAGCTGCTGGCTGGGTTGTTACAGCTGCATTTCCTTTGAAGCTTTATTTTGTAGAGATGTGATGCACAGCCTTGGGAACAGGTAAAGTGAGGAAAGGTGCGGTGGCTTTCTGCCTGAGGAAGTGAAGTGGAACGTGATTAGGCTATTAGCTGCCCTTTGTTTCTGCAATATTGGAAATCCGTTCAGTCATGCCAGATGTTGCTTTGGTTAAGGACATGCTGTCTTTTATCGTACTCACAGAAATCATTTAAAGCCATGCTCATGATATGCACAGCTAGCAGAAGTGATGTGGGCAAATGTGAAGTGGATTTGTTCCTGTATGAAACTGTCCTGATAACTTTGAGGGGTTAAGCTAGAAAGACCTTGATAATTCAGTTCAGGTTGTTGGGAACTGAGCTTTGAAGGTTACGTGATTGCATGTTCTCCCTTCTCCCACCGTCACGCGGCACCATTCGAAACATGTCTGAGTGGAGAATACAGTTATTTTTGGTACTGTCCCAGAAACTTATCAGGTGAAATGCAATTAATGAATCAAGAGCTTAAAAATATCTGCCCAGAAGCAGCAGGTACTCTTTTGGTGACTGAGTACAAGAATTTCTTTCAGAAGAACGGCATACAAAAAGCTTTTCTTACCTCATCTCTTCCCAGATTATGTTTCTCTTACTTCCAGGGATGTTAGATTTTTGCTCTTCCCTTTAAGGAAGGCCTTCCGCCTGCACCTTGGCAAATCAGAGGACAGGAAGATCTCAATTTGCATGAGCTCAATGAAGATTTAGCTGAAATCCTCGTAGGGTTTGCCTGCCTCAGGTCTTCCTGTAGCACAGGCAGCCCACATGGTGCTGGAGGGAGGCTGAGAGCAGGAGCAGAGGTGGCCAGAAAACGCAGAGAATCCGTGATTTAAATTCACAGTGGACCAGAATGAATGCAAAGGATGAGGGAAAGGAAAGAAGGGAACGAGGAGTCTTCCAAAGTTATGTGTGAAGCAGAATGGTGGAGATGCCCAACAGGGCATGCAAGCAGATGGGGGCTGATAAGTCCAAGGAGACGGGGGTAGAGGCTGCTGGCTGCTAAAGGATGCAGGTGGCTGGAGGCAAGGTAGTGGGTGGGAGCTGTAGTAATGGGAATGTATAGGCTGGAAACAGTTGTCAGTGGTAGAGGAGGGAAGTGTAGTAGACCAAGTGCAGAGAAGGAAGCAGGTACAAATTGCACCGGGGAGATTCAGGAAGTAATTTTTCTCCAAGAGAGTGGTCAGGCAATGGAACGGGCTGCACAGGGAGGTGGAGAGTCACCGTCCCTGGAGGTGTTCAAGAAACACTGAGATGTGCTGAGGGACATGGCTTCATGGGGAATATTGATGGTAGGTGGACAGTTGGACTGGATGATCTTAGAGGTCTTCTTTAACCTCAGTGATTCTATGATTCTGTGACACAGAACCAGTGTGCATGGAAGAGATACAACACTTTGTGTCCCATTTATGTGAGGAGGAGTACCAGGGTCATGTGTGGAACCTGGAACTCAAGATAGCTGCACGAATGGTGCTCTTCGAAGCAGGTCAGTCTGAAAGGGAGGCTGAAGGAGCCTGACTGTAGGACAGCAGTGGAAAGAGCACAGATTCATTTGAGTTGTTGGGACCTTGAGAGATCGTCTAGTCCACAGTTTCTCTCCAAGCTGCAGCCAGAGACACGACATCCCACTGCTTTGAGTTCCTCACCACCTCTGCCACTTCTGCTGTCCGTAACAGAGAATATGTAAGGCCAGTTGAGGAAAAAAATGGGCTGATCATAGAAGAAAGGCGTGTATGTCATTGCCTGCACTCCGAGTGCGTAAGGCGTGGGCCATCTTAGGCTGTGCATTCTCCAAGTGTGGAATGATTGAATTTGCAACTGTACTAATGTTTCTCTGAGTGTAGTCTTGATAAATAGTACAGAGCAATGGGTTAAGAAGATGGAGAAGGATTGTACTGTTCAGAAGGGAACAGCTTTAGCAGATAGCTAATAAGAGATAACAGAAGTGGAGAGCACAAGGCTAATACATCATGGCTGAAATGCCCACGTTTATTAACAAAGCCAACAGGGAAGGCTTGTCTCTGTGTTCTTATTTTCTGTGTGTTTGACAGTCCCCAAAGACATCAAGGCTCCAGTGCTGGGCATTGAGAACTTCTACAGGAAGATGGTATTTGCATTAAGGGGCTCAGTTCAAATAGACAGGGCAGACACAGAGTGGGAGAGGAGCAAGAGTGCTGAGAGGTAAAGCAGGTGGCAATGGTTAGCAGCAGAGCTGATGGCTGGACTGCTGAATCCCAGGGCACTGATGTATCTGTTAAACTGTACTGTTTGCACTCGTACTGAAGCCAAAAGGAGGTCTGAGTAAATGCTCAAGGCTAAAAGCACTGTGGGATGTCTGCCTCAGCAACCAGAATCTGAAATGGGCTGGTTTGGCTTTTTTAAAGGAAAAAGCAAGTGAATCCATTCCTATTCTGCATGGTCCTGCTGCCACCATAGCACACAATGAGCACTGTGTCACTAAAGGAGAAATCCCATTAAAATCAGAAGGGCTGCAGCCCTGAGCCCTGGAGGGAGATGCAGGCTGGAATCTGTTACTGGAAGCTGTTTGTATTGGCTGAGAAACACGCAGGTTAACGGTACTCTCAGCATTTTCACAGGGCCTAGAAATGCCCTCCGCGCTTTGCATGGCAGGATAAATAAGATGTTAAGTACCGGTCTGAAGGTTTATGTAATGCAGCGTTGGGGCAGCAAGAACAGAAGCTTTGATTGGAGGGTAGATGAGGGCAGTTCTGCCAGGGAACCAGCTTGGTGTTCCTGGAGTCCCAGGGCATCGATTCACCCAGTGTTGGCGTGCTCAAATTCCGAACCAGATTTAGCAGGACTGTATACGAGTCTTTCTGTATACAAATCTCAAAAGTCTTCTTCCCTCCCATGGATAAAAGCAGAGTGCCAATACGCTGTAAGGTTTGTTTCCAGGATTTTGATGGCCATTTTCAAGAAGTGAAAGCTTTGAAATCAATTTAAGTGCATTTCCTTGTTTGACTAAAAGCCATAAAGCCATCAGAAGAAGTGAATCTGGATAGTTTTGTCACGACCGAAAAAGTGTAGGACAGCATATGTTTTAGCTGAGCTTATTTAGGACATCCTGCTGCTAAAATCAGCCTACGGAATGGTCAAATTTCATTAAAGTAACATTCAGACTATTTGTACTCAATTAAACGTTTATTTTAAATTTCCTCTTGATTTACTGATTCGAATGCATTGTTCATTTTTCGCATACCAAGCGCCGTTGCTTGGTCTCAAGGGAATTATTGTTACAAATTTAACAACTGTGACATATTAAAAAGCGCATTTAAGGAAGAAATTAAGGGTTGGAAGGATGTGACCAAATGTTTCCGTAGCGTTTGGCCAAAATGTCACTGAAATGCCAACATGATTTTAACAGGAGTTAAAATCAGAACTTTCAAAGCACGTCTTGCCTATCAAAGAGATAAAATAATCCTTGTCTGCATCGGTAGCAGGCGTACATCCATTGCACTTGCCAGAAAATCATTTTCATTTTTGGAAACTACTTTTAACAGCTGAGTAATTAAGGTGTTAGCTCTGTGCTGTGCAGCTGATTAGTGAGAAGGAAGTCAATAGCTCAGAGCGTGGAAGCAAAAATGTTCAAATGAGATGCATCGTGGAGGCACCTGCATCCCTAATTAACGGCCGGGTGGGAATGGCAGGAACAGCTTTTTCAGGAAGTTCTTTGAAAGTCAGACCCCAAACTGGGCAATGAAAAATAGGAAATGGTTTTAAAGTGAGACAGGGGAGGTTTGGGTTGGATATGAGGAGGAAGTTTTTCCCCCAGAGGGTGGTGAGGCACTGGCACAGGTTGCCCAAGGAGGCTGTGGATGCCCCATCCCTGCAGGCATTCAAGGCCAGGCTGGATGTGGCTCTGGGCAGCCTGGGCTGCTGGTTGGTGACCTGCACACAGCAGGGGGTTGGAGCTGGATGAGCACTGTGCTCCTGTGCAACCCAGGCCATGCTGTGATTACTTCTGAGAAACACGACCTTACTGTCAAAGGTGGACTGGGAAGGGTGCATGTGCAAGTCTGTGGAACTGTGTCCAGCTCCAAGCCCCTGCTGTGTGCAGGGTCACCAACCAGCAGCCCAGGCTGCCCAGAGCCACATCCAGCCTGGCTTTGCTCCTCAAATTGCCCAGGAGAACAAGGCTGTTTTCTCTGGGTTGTGAACCTCACGTGGGTGATTCACTTTGAGATCTTTAAAGACAGCTCATGGTAGCAATACTGAAGTGCAGGACAGCCACACCGCTGCTTTTTGCAGGCTGGCACAATTGTTGCATACTTTAGCAGCACAATTTGCTTTGTTTCTAATTAGCACTGGTGATGGCATTCCAGGAAGATCAGCTCATTAGAAACCTGTATCAGTGTAGATCAATTAAAAATCTGTTCCTCTTCATGGTTCTGATGCTCTTTTTTCTTCTGTGCCAGCACACAGCCACATCTCAGACATATGGAGCAGCCTCTCTGGGGCAGGAGGGACCAGGGAACAGACCTCAGTGATGGCTGCCTCACCCACAAGCAGGACGGGGTGCTCGTGCTTCTACAGCAATACATGGAAGATTTTGTTTGTTTAATTCTCCTGCGAGGCTGTTATATGGTATGTCCAGGAAAATATCTCTTTTTTTCTTTTTTTTCCTCCTTGGTTTGAAGCCGTTGATTATTTACAGTTCTGTTAAAAAAGAAAACAAAACAAAGCGTATGAAAACTCTGGTGGTTAGCCACCCTGCCCACAGCATGGGGCTTGGATGTCAATGATCTTTAAGGTCCCTTCCAACCGAAGTTGTTCTATGATCCCGTGAAAGAAACATACTTGAGAATTGCAATCGCCCTAATTTCTATGTTTTTCTGAACTTTCTTCACTGAAGAGCCTGGTCCTGCCTTGTCTGGAATGTGTTCATTGAATCTCAATGCACGTGGCAACCTGTGACCAGCTGTGGGACCGTGTGGGCAAGGACTGGTTTGTCTGCTGAAGGTGAGGCAGCAGCTCTTCTGCACAGTTCAAGGGTATGTGCTCAGTTTGCCATACATCATTATGGAGACGTTAGGGCCCGTGCCTTGGCAGCAGCTGTGACATTAAAATGTATAAGATGTTACCAAAGGAAGCACTCGGCAACATTTTTTTGGCTTCCCAAGGCATAAACAAGAAATTTTCTCTACAATGGTAAGTTAGAACAGGGGGTGAGACACTAATATAATTAGGATGTCCACTCTGGAGAGCACAGCTGGCTAAATTAAGGCAAGAGAGGGCAGCCCTGGTGGCTGAGGGGCACAGCGGGGAATTCCCAGGTGAGATCTGTGTTATGCCCTGCTGCCATCCTGAATCTGTGCAGGACAGATTTTTCCAGTGCTAGAAATAGATGTGGCCCTTTGCTATCTGCACAGATAAGCTGATTCATAGCAGCTGATTTGTTGTCTTCAGGAGCAGATGTACAAATAAGAAGGTATCTTAGTCAAATGGATTTCTGGTAGCTTAAGGGAGATACCTGCCATGGGATTCAAAGGGCACTTTGAGCACTCTGTGGCTCTCTGGATGTAAGTGTAGTTTTTGCATTTGATAAGCCAGTTCTGAAACTCAGATTTCCACTTTGGCATTCATTAACCTACAGCTCAGTAGCTTTTATCACAGAATCACAGCATGGCCTGGGTTGCACAGGAGCACAGTGCTCATCCAGCTCCAACCCCCTGCTGTGTGCAGGTCGCCAACCAGCAGCCCAGGCTGCCCAGAGCCACATCCAGCCTGGCCTTGAATGCCTGCAGGGATGGGGCATGCACAGCCTCCTTGGGCAACCTGTGCCAGTGCCTCACCACCCTCTGTGTTTTATATCTGACCCAGGCTATAAAATGAGTTCTTTATGTCACACTTTGCTTTCAAAAAGAAAGTGTGGTGAAGATGTAATGTCATAGTTCAAAAAAAAATCCACAGCAATGACCTGCAGCTTGGAGAAGTGTATCTTCATTCTTGAATGATGTAGTAACTGCTTAGCTTGTACAGCTGATTTTACAAAAATATTTATTTCAGTGAGATTAATTCCAGCACACTTCTGGCTTCTTCTTTTAGAACTTTTCCTTGTTCCTTCTTTTGGCTCTTGATGAGGTGAGAGCTGCAGCGATGGCATCTATAGTCTCCTGTTTGCAATAACAGCACTGCAGTGCAGTCTGGTGAGGAGGACCGTAAGGCTCTACGTGGCCATCTGCACTGACACAGCAGCACCACGATGTCGAAATACAAACGGGAAAGACTTCACATCTGCCTGGTAATGTAACAAAGCAATATTAACATTTTCATAAAATGTTCTGAAAGCGGTTTGGTTTGGCTCGCCATTCGGATACTGAAGCCAAAGAGACTGTCCTGAGAGCAGTGCAAGCAGAAAAGCAATACGGTGCAGTGAATGAGGCTGCAGGATCCGAAGTGCTGTTTTAATAAGGCAGTAAATGTGGCAGAGCGTTGTAAAATCCCTCGCTGTTCTGCCTGTGCCCAGATTGCAATTGTACATTGCAGGCAACATCAGCACAGTAATTTTACTGTGTAGCACTGGTGCAGTTTAGGAGCACAGTTTTCATCCTGATGGTCCCTGTGAAGTTCACAGGAAGTTCAACCTTTACTTCATATACTTCATTCTGATTGATTTCTAATTTTATCAATTATCCAAAGCTTGAAAATAGGTGCTGGTCAAGAATTGCAAGGTGATCACTGTAAACACCAAAAGAGGGATAGAGAATGAACTTAATTGCAGTCTGCATATCAGGGGAAAAAAAAAGGTATCAGCAGGGATTTTTAATCCAGCAGCAGAAGAAACATGAACTGGTAGTTCAGAACCTTGGGATTAACAGTTCTGAGCAGGAAAATTTAAACAAATACGAACCCTGAACAATTGACACTGCATTTTACAGAGGGATGCCTGAATGCTTCCTTAACAGCCTTGCAGGCAGAATACTGTAGTTCAGCCACAGTGTATGTGGGTAAAGGCAGGAACTGGAGATTGCATCCCACTGCCCCTGGGACAGGAGCTGGATCAGAGCAGTTATAACAACCCCTTCAACCCCAGATGTTTTCATTGCAGCTGGACTCCCCACGCTGAACCTGCTGAGGTCCTTGGTAGCTCTGTCTGTGATCTTCTGGGCAGGATTGGGAAATGGTTGTACTTCATATGTGTACTTGTATTTACATGTGAACAAGAGCAGTTATTCTTCATCAGCCTTTGTTCTCCTATTTTTAAAAGGGTTACTCATCCCTTCAAATATTAGAATCAGCTTTTAGGTGATTGGAATCTGATTTAGGTGACAGTTCTCACCCCATGAGCAGCCAGAAATTGAAACGAACCATTTCTGGAATGAGCTGTTGTTGATCCAGGCTGTCCAACAAGTACTTGAATAACAAATATCTCTTACCAAACCAATGTTGGTTCATGAACAGAGAAAAAGAATGAAGTTCCTTGGATTGCTTGTTTGCAAAACACAGTTCAGCCCTTTCTTTGCTGTCCAGCTGTCGGGAACTAAATCCTTAACTGCTAAACCAACTCATTGACTTCAGTGGGGAGGTGGCAATCTACATTAAGTGATCGTCGAGACTCGAGAGTGCAGCAAGACAGCAGTGTGAAAAATACAAATGGGAGGGGGGAATGGTAGCAAGGCATTTCAGGATAGCCAGAAAGACTGCTGGGATAAATTGCAGGCACAGTCTGCTTTCTGCAAAGATAAGTTTTTCTTCTTCTTTTTTTTTTTTCATCTCTTATCTCCTATTTCTCTTAGTGCTTGCAAAGATCAAATGTGAAGCAAAACTGGTAAGGAGAGGGAGGGTTAACACAAGTGATGCAGCAAGGGGGCATGGGCAACTTTAGAAACAAATCTCTTTGTCTTGACAATTTTAGCCCTCTTTTTTTATCAGCTGGTTCTACTGGAGTGTCACCACTAGCTAGAAAAATTACTGTGCTGATGTTGCCTGCAATCTACAGTCACCATTGCAGGAGCACCATCTGATCAAATACATCAGATTTTCCACTGAAGTTGTGTTTATTGGCTTAGCAGTGCAACTGGCTTGAGTGTAAAAAAAAAAAATCCCAGCAATTTCACATGTTTGAAACTAAATCATTTGCTTGATCTTGTCTTCTCCAGTTTGATCATGAGACAGTTGCATAAGGAGGCATCAGGCCCAAAGAGGGAACGTCGTGAAATAGGCAGTTCTTCAGACTGAGTGGGCACTGCTGTAATATTCTGCAGTGGTATGGGGGTGCAGAATTCTGTTGCTTTTAAACGTGTTGTGTTTGTCTTTGGATAGACAGTGAAGTGGAAGCTGTGTTTCCTATAAATGCAGGTTTGGAATGAGCTCGGGAGTTGGTTCTGTTTAAGCAGATGGGCATAGAGGCAGTGCTGAGTCAAGCAACTGTATAAATAAAATTCACTCATCTGAGGAGTAAAGCAGCTAGGATGTCATTGCCTTGCACTGAGAATGCAAAAAAGGGTGGATAATAGCAGGACAAGGGGAAATGGTTTGAAGCTAAAGGTGGGCAGATTGAGGTTGGATGTCAGGGGGAAGTTGTGTGCTGTGAGAGTGGTGAGGTGCTGGAACAGCTGCCCAGAGAGGCTGTGATGCCCCGTCCATCCCTGGAGGTGTTGAAGGCCAGGTTGGATGGGGCCCTGGGCAGCCTGGGCTGCTGTGAAATGGGGAGGTTGGTGGCCCTGCATGGCACAGGGGGGTTGGAGCTTCGTGATCCTTGAGGTCCCTTCCGACCCGGGCTGTTCTGTGATTCTGTGATAATGGTTCTCTTGGCATGTCGAGGTTTGAAGGTCTGAAGATTAAACAGGTGACCTGAGTGCTCATCTGGGCTGGAGAGGAATCTTGGTGAAGAAGTTCCCCTCCTGTCAGAATGGTAAAATCCATCCTTCACCACTGAGAAACTTTCTATTAATGCTTTTGGAGAGAATTTGCTGTCATTTAGCATTCATGGCACTTGGGCAGAAGAATTCAATTAGATGATTAAGGGCTATTAGTGTTATTTATTGCCAATGTTGTAATGTTTAGAGGCCCTTCTTTTTTTCCTATGGCTTATAAAAACACAGAAGTGAAGACAGTTCTTTTCCAAAATGCTTTAGTTTAAGAAAGCTGTTAATATAACAGAAATACCCCCAAAATGTGAAGCAAGATCTCTTTTCTAGTGAGCAGAAACGAGCAGCTACTCAGGATATGCCAATGGCTTCAGTTACTGCTCACCTGCCTCTCATGTTTCATGGTTGAAAAAAATGTTGGTATGAGATTTATAAATTACTTCTTCAGCAAGTAATGCCAGAAGTGCTTTGAGAGAGTTGATCTGTGAAGTTATTTGAATGCCAGGGCATCATTAGGGTTGGAAGAGGTCATTTAGTCCAACTGCTGACCCATCACCGCCAGGCCCACTACATTCATTAATTACTTCAGTAGTTAAGGAGCTGGTGAATCTCGTCCCAACCATGGGAGGCATTTTTAACAAAGTTTTTGTGGAAGGTGACAAAAATCTGGATGCTGGCCGTAGAGGTTTTAAAGCACCTTAAAAATGAGAAAGCTACTCAACAGCTTCTCCATTATCCTGCTGCACGGCAGAATCCCTTACACACATAGCCCAACTCACTCCATCAGAGCCATCACAGCTGAACGTTTTGCCCAGGAGATGTATCCAAAATACTGTAAATTCCTACGGAAAGAAATTCTTTGCCTCCATTAGCATTTCAACACACACTCACTACAGAGATCTCACTGGGGGTAAAGCATTAAAATCCTTTCAAAAGTGGTTTCGTTGGCTAATTAGACAATAAACATAAACCTGATGCATCCAGCTGTACAAATAAAACGTGACTTTAAAGTTTCATGTCCTGTGTGCAGAGTAGGCTTGAACTTGGAGCCAAGGCGGGCCGAGGGAAGGTGGCTGACGTACAGCTCCGTAGTGCGGCCTCGGGAGAGCCCAAAGAGAGTTTATTTTAAGTGTAACTCAAAGGAACTAAGTACCAGTTACCACAAATAGGGTGATCTTTATCTTCCTTCGTTGGCTTGTGCCGAGGGAAAAGAATCTCAGGCGAGTTGCGCAGCCGCGGGCTTCACAGAGAGGATATCTGCCGCACGCTGCTGACGTGCCTCATTTTTTGGGTGCTACCTCACTGCTGAAGGAAATGAACGGGTCATTTCAGTGCCCTCTGGTGCCCTTGGCTCCTGGTAGGTGTGATGAAGTAGCTAAATGCTCACACGAGTGACGTTCCTGCCCTGCTGCGGTTGGTGAAGGGGAGTTGGGTTCCCCCGGCGCAGCTCTTTGGCCATCTTGGAGCGGCACCTGTAAGCGCTCACTTTGAGAGATGGCTAATGTGCTAATTACCCGAGTCCCAAAAATGCAAGCTGTAAACAAATGAGGACTGTATTTATAATCCATCAATTTTATGACCTTCTGATGGTGATGATATCAGTGGAGTTTACATTGGGAGCCCTTGTACTCCTCCAGGGCAGCTGTGCCCTTATGTTTTAGTTACAACTCGAAGAAGATTTTGCTAATTTACTTTATAGTAAGCGTGCTTAGGAAAAATATTACCTTCCCTAAACAGCTGAGCCCGTTACCAAGTCTCATTTTTAAATAAGGAAAACACAGGGACTGTCAGTACCTTGAGGCTGTATTGTCAGGTGACGGGCTGTTTTGAAAACATCCATGGCAGAAAGTAATGACTTCAGAGCAAAATATTGTTCTCATTGGTATAAGTTGCCGTGAGACAAATCCCACACCCTCTGATGTCAATGGAAAGACTCCGTTTGACTTCAAAGAAGGCTGGATCAGGCTCTAAAAGAAAAGTTGCCATCGTAAAACACCACAAATGCTTTATGGTTCATGTGCTTAAAAATCCTCTGCTCAACGGTGATCTTCTGCACAGTTTACCTGGCTACATGCAACTTGGAATTTTTGTGTTTGCTTTGCAATGGGTTTATGACAGAAGAATGCCTGTAAAGTCTGATTTGTGAAGTGTTAAAATGATGTCCTGGAAAGCCACGCCGTGCCAAAGTATACAAGATGCCCTGTAATACCTCAGCTCGAGGAAGGCTGTCCAACTTCCCCGATGTTACTAAGTTCTCACAAAGAAAAACAATGCTGCTTAACCATAGACAGATGTATTAAAAATAGCTAGATATTGTGCCCTTGTTCTTTTATTGGAGTCATTAGCTTTTCAATCGAAATTCAGATTAGAGTTTGAGGACAGAACTGTTTCCTGCGTTTTCCAAAGCTTTCGTTTGAGCAACTTTTAAAAG